CAGACAAATAACACTGGACAACAAATTTTAGTTTTTTAATTGTATCTTGTGGGAAAAGTGCACTTCTTTGTTAATTTTGGGGCGCTGAATCCAAAAATGACAATGAAATAAAAAAATTAGTTGCGGTTTAGAAAAAAAACTTTTTATTTTTAAGGATATATTAAAGTAACAAGATTCATATACTTATAAGAATCACTATATGCGCTGTCTTTTTGCTGTTATTTTATGGATCGTTTCTGGAGAATCTCTACCAAGAGTCCAACAGTAGTCTGCAAGCATGGAAGGATTCCACTTTCCCTGGTACCTTTTTTCCATTGTTGAAATATCCTGATGAAAACGTTCGCCGTGCTCATCACTTACAGCTCCGCAATTATTAGGAAAAAAGTCCAGGTTCGAGTGTAGGAAATGTATCTTAAGAGACATATTACAGCCCATCTTTTGATACGATGACAGCATATTTTTGACAAGGGTTTTATAGTTGTCAGCTTTTCTATTTCCTAAGAAATTAGTGACCACCAGACGGAAATCATTCCAAGCAGTTTTTTCAATACCTGTTAAAGTGTTTTCAAACTGTGTATCTTTCAAAATATTTCGAATCTGTGGCCCAACAAAAATACCTTCTTTAACCTTTGCCTCACTTAGTCTTGGAAATTTCTGACGCAGGTATTGAAAAGCTGACCCATCTCTATCTAATGCCTTGACAAAGTTTTTCATTAGGCCCAACTTGATATGCAGTGGTGGTAATAAATTTTTTTTCGAATCTACTACATGGCATATGCTGTACATTTTTTTGACCTGGCTCTAGGAATTGACGAACAGGCCAGTTTTGTTTGGTGTAATGAAGTGCCTTTGACCGACTGTCCCATTCACACAAAAAACAGCAAAACTTTGTGTAGCCTAGCTGCAGCCCAAGTAAAAGTGCAACAACTTTCAAATCGCCAGAAATATGCCATTGGTGCTCATCGTATTTTATGCATGTCAATAGGTACTTCATATTGTCATATGATTCTTTCATGTGAACTGCATACCCTACAGGAAGAGATGGTAAAATATTTCCAATGTGCAATAACACTGCCTTTAAGCTCAATGTTGAACTGTCTATAAACAATCTCCATTCTTCTGGGTTATAGTTTATATTTAAAGCCGCCAGTAAGCCGTTAATGTTACTGCAGAAAACCAAATTATTCTCCATATTGAAAAATGGTTCTAAGTCTTTGTGGCGTTTACGAAAAACAGATACCGAAACATCGTCTTCTAACAAGTTCCACTGCTGCAGTCTTGATCCAAGTAACTCTGCCTTACATTTTGGAAGTTCTAAATCTCTTACAAGATCATTCAATTCTGACTGTGTTATTTTGTGCGGTTGGTGGCATGACGTGCTCGGTATAAAATCAGGATCTCTTGACGTTGATGGCATATCTTCTTCCTGACGAATCACTCGATCGCCATGACCTGATTCGTTTTCTGATTCGCAAATGTAGGATTCTGGGGGTTTTGGAATAGGATTTTCGTCACTGTGAGGCACAGGTCTGATCGCAGATGGTATGTTTGGGTAGTTAATAACCGATTTTTTTTTCTTGGACATACCTGTGGCTTGTCCAACACAAGATACCATGCAAAAGTAACAATCATTAATATGATTTGTAGGCTCTCTCCAAACCATTGGGACAGCAAAGCGCATAGACCGTTTTTTGCCATTTAACCAGCTCCTCAGACTTGAAGCACATGTGTTACAGCAGATGTGGGGTGCCCACTGTTTGTCTTGATCACCTAGTTTACAACCGAAATAAAGCTGATATGCCTTTGTTATTAGTGGAGTAATAGACCGTCTCTGAGACGCAAAAGTCACATCACCACACACGTAACAAAACTAATCTGGATTGTTTACACACTTTCGAGACATCTTGCATGAACGCTGTCAGCCAACTGAGGAAAAAATGGCTAATGTAAAACAATATAATGTACACGTATGTATAACGTAACACAATCATGCCTATTACATCATCTTTCCTTGCCGAATATAAAAATGTAGCACGTGCATTCTTGTGAATTACAGTATATTAACACTGTCACAGCAGAAACACATATAATTACCGTATCTCTAAAACTTGAACTAATATAAAAAAATAAGTTTTATTCCGGTTTTAGCACATTAAAAATAGTAATATTTTGTTGATTTTATTCAGGATATATTTTGGCTGTTGATCAGTATAATCGGTAAAACTTGACCCCATATATTTATAATAAGTTCACTTTCAATGAACATAAAAAATATCCAAGTTTATTAAGGTTCTAAAATTTGGAAGCTTTTATTTTGATTCGAAAGCACTAACTATCAGTATCAAGTTTACCAAATTTTTTGATATCTAAAATTTGTCAAAGCAGAGTTATAATATACATCATTCAGTAAAATGCAATTTATTCTTTTAAATTCCAAATACTATCCAAACATCGTTTTACTTGGAATAGGTAAACTCACTTTAACAGTTCATTTATTTCAAATACATTGGTGTACTCATAGTTCACGGCATTTTGGAATAATTAATCTAGTTTCATAGATTTAAGTAAACTGTTTTATAAATCGGAGTTCAATTAAAATAATTTAATTGGTTAGCTGTTAAATAGTTAACTAAATTATTGAATTGTCCAATTAGAATGTTAAATGGTTCAATTAAATTTTTTTCTCAATGAAGGAAGCCGATCCCAAATTTTTTATGCTAAACGACAAATTGTAGAGTTTGATGTTCAGCAAAAAATAGTTAAGATTTGACTAGTTTTTTTACGTATCGTGTCAGTATGCAATATAACCAAAACTTTGCGGTCCACTCTTGGACTATTACTGATTTACACATAAAAACAACGGACCGTGGAGTGAGATACTATATTTACCTAAAACATTATACATGTAGTACAGCAGTAGTAGCGGCCAATACATTCTCATGCCTGAGGCTACACCAGTGCCAGTGGCGTAGAAATTGAAAACTGTTGACCCTACTATGGAAAAATAAAAACTTTTGTCTTTTGTAAATGTGTTTATAATTCCTTCTTCATTAGCCATATACATTGAATTTACAACAAACTATGTCATATACATCTTACTGTAGGATAAATGTCATAACCATGAGAGGCACAGCGTATCCTAGTTGATAAATTAAAAAATATAATTAATTCGAAGAAAAATAGTAAATGAAAACGTTCCACATGTATCAAATCAAATTAATAAAATAGTCCAACATTACTATTTTTTTTTCAACTCTTTCAATGGGCCCCATCGGCACATGCTCCAAGGCTGCTGTTACCGATAAGACTATGGTTAATACCCGCTTTTCAATAACGGCATTTTCCAGGACAACCACCCTTGCATTGGCAGAAAATTAAACTCAATAACGTGAACGGATTGTCTCGCTCACAGTATGGATTTAAAATGGAAAAATGTATCATAGACTCACCTAGTGCAGTGGTGCAGCTAGCAGAAGAAGCCGTTAGCGACAGCTACAGTGGTAAGAAGTGTTGCGTTATGGTTGCATTTGACTTTAAGAATGCGTTCAACGGCACAATGTCACAAAGTCGATGAATCTACCTATCTACTGATCATGATAAGGGTCTATTTCGATGAAAAGGAGCTGATGGCATGACAACAGATGATCAAGGTAACCATTGGAGTGTCGCAGGGCTGCACACTAGGACCGTTGCTTCAGAATGTATTCTACATCTTTCGGTTTCAAATGCTCCCGTGAAATGTCCCAATAGGTTACGACAGGCGATGATAGTTGCTGCCAAAGAGAGAGAGGCACTTTTTAGCATATGGTATCATAAAAATTGCCATCTGGATGGAAAAAGGAAAATGGCTTGAAATAAGCTCCTGAGAAGACGAACGCGGGCACACTTTCTGGCAGACACAAGCTAACTTCATTGGCTTGGTTAAAAACGCCGATGTTCAAAGCGCGTGTGAAAATTAGTGCATTTTCTTCACAAGAAGTTTAAAAACATACATTCTGTAGTTCAATTCTTGTTCTTCATAGCTTCAGCAGCGGCGATACAACTTCTGGTATAACATAACAACTGTATTTTATGATCACATGTCCCAACATCAGCTCCGGACGCCGTAGCAGAAAGCGGGAGAAAAGATGTTTCCTGTGCGTTCCGCTGTGACTGAAATTAACAGATCAAGTAACTATCTCAAGGTTGACCTTTCTTCCCTCCCAGTTATCAAGGGATGAGCAAAATATAATGCATATAGGGTATTCTACCAAGTCCAGGCTTGGAAACCAACTGACACCTGAAATGTGCGTTGGACGCGAAGAGTCAACAGAAACCTAGGACCAATCACGACCTTGGACCTTCCTGCTCCTGACACGTTTTAGAACTTTGACGATGTAAGAGTGACTGTTCTGGCAAAATTGCAGTTGCCGAAAAATGAGCTGCAATCTTCTCTGTAAGGGCAGCCTTGAAGCATCTACCAATCGTGCCCCATCGCTGTTGGGAAAAATGACGATGATGAGAGACAAATTTATTAATTTGAGTTGATATATGTGGGACGTGTTTATTTATTATTCTACGTAACAATTAGACATAGGGGAGACTCGGGCAAAAAGAACCATAAGGGCAAAAAGAATCAATTGAAAGAAAAATTATTTCAAAATTCCCGCCACTATTTTCTATTTACTTCTGGCACCATCCCGGTAAGCTTATTTTTCATGTTTTTACCGCCAATTTAGAAAATGTAACCGTCTTGAATTCTTGATCATGGTTTAAATAGATGGAAATTATTTTAGTATTGTTATAAGTTGAAGCATTGAATGATGTGGCGATGAATAACGTTTTGTGTAGATTGTAACCTCACATTAATTGTGGCGCTGTTCAAGGGTTTGACATTTATAAATAATATTTCAATGTGTTGTATACCTACTGGTCAATAAGAACCGGTTCCATTTGCCCGACTACTTTTGCCCGCTATTCCGTTGGATATACTTTTTTTTCAAAATGAAATATTGTTTCAGAATAATGGTTTTCAAGTATAAACGAAAAACAGAAAGAGCCCAAGAGCGGGACGAAAACGTAATGAATCGCGCAATAAATTCAATTAACCAAAGAGAAACATCTATTCGGGGGGATACAAGCATTGCCCGGGCTTGTGGATTTAACAGGCCCCAAGTGCAGTTATTTTTTGATTATTTAAATAATATAATGAAGAAAATGTACCATGCCTCGACTGCGGAGATATTTTAGGCAACTCTAAGTCTGGAGAAACATGGATTGAATGCAATATGTGTCAAAACTGGGCTGTGCTGATTACAACAGAGGCATCTATATTTGCGACAAATGCAAGTTATCAGTTTTGATTTCCTTGAAAAAATAACTGTTAATATACTTCCACTTTTAGTTATGTTAGAAATAAAGTTCTTCTTGCCCACATGTATTTCATATGCTGATTACTTTTGCCCGAGGCGTTGGTTTTTATTGCCCTCATATGTGGGCAAAAGGAATCAAAAGCATGTTTTCGTTTAATGTTTTTTTTAAAGATATATTACTATAATTATATATTTTTATAATATATATTTTGTTTCTAAATGTAATAGAGTCTTACTTTAAATTAAAAAAATAATAATTAGGATTTAATAGAAGATTTTAAAAGCTGGCGACTTAAGGTGGTTCCTTTTGCCCGAGTCTCCCCTACACATTTAGTTCCATTTATTATTTTTGTCAACTAAGATACCATAAAAATGCTGTTGTAAACTTATACTATACTATATTTGTACACTGAATAAAGTAATTTAGCCACTGGAACTAAATATTTTTCAATTTTTCGTAGATGTGCATCTTTCAGAGATCTCTAAAAAGGGGCGCATCCATCAGAAATACTAAAATATGTATTCAGTTCAGTGTATGTTCAGCAAGAAAAAATAGATGGGAAAAATATAGTGGGACTCCCAGCACGTACCACTTTCTTGTTTCGTGGGTTTGTGTTATTAATGTTGGAGGAATTATACAGATATTATTAATAGTTGACGAGATAAAAGCAAAAACTCAAAAATGTGACCTCCCCTTCCGCCGGCCCTCTCGAGTTTTTTCACAATTCTCAGTGCCTCAAAAACCCGACTTTCATCAACATCTACTTTCAAAGTGCCACTCCTACCTCCCAACAAGCTTAATATTCTCTACCAATGTATGCCCTTCTTGCTACTTAAGCAACTAGATGGCTCTGAAGGATGATCTCGATCTCGTCAAAATGGTTTGCGACGACAGTTACTTTTATCGACATCAACTTCCAGGAGCTGACATCCTGTTCTCCAACAAAGTAGCATTCTATTCCAACGTCTGTCGCATTCTCACTCTAGCAACAAGATGGCGCTATGGTACGCCCTCGACGCTGTGAATTTGGCGCAGGGACGCAGGCGTCGTTTCGAGGTACAATCCGCGGCAGAAGCATCGCAGTAGGCCTGGTCTGGAGAGCGTAGGCGGATATCACGCCGGATGGTAATAATAATCAAGAGTGGCGGGAGGTGTCAGCTGAACGGATACCCCTAGGACATCTCCGACGAAGCTTGGAGAACTTTTAGTCTTGGCGTAGTTCAGTTATAATAATGATATGTCCCTAAAGAGATGGATTGGATATGAGATTCTGAGATATAATATGGAAAGCCCAGTAGATACAAAAAGCAATACATTTAAAAAAGCTTTCATTTCGCTGCCTATAAAACTACTTTTTGTTGTTTATTATGTTAGTAGTGAGAAGTATCTGGTTTGACAATTTCTGAAAATTTTGGTATATTTTATCCTACCATGTAAACCAGACTTATGAATCCACCGGCGGCATGTTTCTCGTTTCTTTCTTCCATTTTGTTGATAAGTCCCTCGAGGATTAGCTGTACAAATACGAATAAGAGATCTTTGCATCCTAGGACTTGATCCTAGGTGGCCTATCAACACTTGAGACTTGAGTTAAACCTGGTCTCCATACTTCTTTACAATATCTGCCACCGTAGACTTTACGACATTTATTTGTTTAGCAATATCCTGAAAACTCTTTCCTTGATGAATCAATTTTATGATTAAAACTCTGATTGCACCGTATGTTGCTTTACTATGCGAGATTTTAAAGCAAATTGTTTTACAGAATTAATTCTTAAATCAAAACGGCAAATTATAAACACTTTTTTGTTTCCATGGCCTGCTATTATTTCCTTTTTAATATCGTTGTTATCAATATTAGTTTGATTTTATATTTCAATATCATATCACTTGAAAACAGTTTTGTTAATATATGATGTGCAAACAATATATTTCATTATCTTATAAAAGAAAAACAATTAATCTGCCATTTATTTATTGATTTTAACGTAGTTTGTAATAATTTTATCTTTTATAGTTTTATTGACATCCTCTTAACCATATTTAAGTGTGTGTAATCTGTACTGTTTGTTATTATATGTATTGTTTGTCATTTATTTTCTTCTTGTAACTGAGCGCTTCTATTATATTGACTTGTGTAAGCACGTTCTGTGCAATAGCACCAATAAACCATTATTATTATTATTATTATTATTATTATTATTAATCTTGACTCTTACTAAAATAAACAAACTATTAGATACATTAGATAATGTCCGAACACTTTTGTGTTAGGGGTCGTAGGACTCCGTATAGCTTATTACTTTACATGTATGTATTATAAGATATCGATAGCTATAAATCATATAATGATACATCGATACGTTGCGGTGATAGAAATATGGAATTTAGAGTAATGTTACTTATTGTTGTTTCTCTCATCAGGCCCTCTATCTGATACCCATAGTATAGCGGTGACCAATTATAAATCGCCCTTTATCGGCGGTTGCCGTAGTTTCATACCCATAGTGTAGGGGTAACTATAGAAATTATAAATCGTCCCTTCTGCGGTAGCTACCATGTTAGATTTAGAATGACGAGGGGGAGGTACTTTTTTAAATGTAGTCTGTAGTGTGACGGAAAATGAAGCAAATATGGAGAAAATTTATGACACTTTTCATACCGCTTCTAATAAACTAATTAAACGGGGAGTGGCTAAAAGATACCGAATTACGTGAATCAGATCAATTTTGCTTATTGTTTTGAAGAATGTGGCATAATCTTTAAATCTAAAAGCAGATGGCACTAGTTGAGCTAGGGGTCATATCCATTATACCTAGGGTTATGAACAGAAGAACAGTCGGTTGCTAATTGGCTGTTTACGTCAATAGACGTCAAAACATGAAAAAAGGTTAGATTTCTATAAGCCCGTGGATCTCTGGTTTCCATTCAAAACGAAGGAATCTTTCGCCTACATTTTTATCAAATTTGTCCTGTTTCCTTCTATCGAATCTATCTGTTTCTCATGTACGTTTGACAGATTACATCCACACCACACAAAGGCCGCCAATGCCATTTTGACGATGTTGACGAATTGGCTTCAGTTGTAACAATAAATTTGTTCGTTCTTGATATCATACCTATAATAACAATAGTTTTGTTAAACGTAAAATCTCATCTCAATAAACATTACTGAAAACTTAAGACGTCACGTGTGGTGGTTGTTGGCATCTGGCGTAAAACATACAGCAATACGCTCCATTTTATTGACTATAGGAGATGTCAGAACATCTAGACGGCACCACGCTCTTTTGATAGAAAGTTGTTTAATAGGAAAACGGTAGAAATTAAATGATTTGCGGCAGAACGATAGCCAAAGGCTCAAAACGCCTACTAGTGATGACTACTCGGTTCCTGCCTCAATAAGTAGGATGCGTCGAGTAGCTGTCTCGCTCTTTTACTGGACCGAACACTCGGGCGGCTGCTCGGCAATGTGCTTAAGCCGGGCACATACATGCGGTGTTCGGCGAATAGCAAATATTTGGCATTCGACGAGCAACTCGGTAGCTATTTGTTATATGGCGAGAACGACCATACACACATGTGGCGTAAATGCCGAATATTGCTCGGTATGGAAATAATGAATACGAACAACGATTAATGTACGAATGGTGAAAATGAATGGTGAAACATTGATGACTGATGCTGCTGCTTTTGTAGTTATGAGTGGTGCTTATTTACAGTTATTAAAAAAGAAGTCTAGGAGAAGAAGTAGAAGAAGGTGGTGGATGGTATCACTTAATCAAAGTAGAGAAAGGTAAGTAACCTTGGCAGCAAGTAAAATCACAAAAATTAAAAAGATATAAATTTGTCAAAAGTAAAAAAACTCGTTTATGAAAGGAAATGGATATTATTGCATAATTTGATGTAGTTTTCAATTCCTTCTTTCTTAATTTATTTGCAACTCTGTATATTCAGCAATAATTTTGGTGGTATTTTTTTTTTTAATTTCCTATAACCTGCAAATATCCTGTAAAATTGTTTTATTGTTTATTACCAATACTAAAATTACTTAAAAATATAATGTTTTTTTAGATATAGTGGAACTCATCTGATGGCAGATTTATTAAAGGAACCATCTGGCAGATTTGAAAACTTCTGCAGAATGTCCTTTAAAGATTTTGAAAAACTTCTTCAAAAAATAGAGCCAGTGATTTCTAAAAAAGATACAAGATGGAGAAAAGCTATTCCGGGAAAAGAACGATTAACTTTGAGGTTTCTAGCGTCGGGAGACAGCTTTAAGAGCCTACATTATTTGTTTAAAATATCAGCTCAACTCATTTCCTCCATAGTTCCAGAAGTATGCAGTGCTTTAATAAAAGTCCTGAGTAATGTAATACAGGTAACATTTTTATTTCGTTATTTTATAAGAAGGTAGAAAAGTAATATTTCTACAAAAGTAAAAAACATACATATAAAGTACATATCAAATGTTTATAATTTTATCTGAAACTTGTATAACACTGCTTCAAACTTTCAAATTGTGACTCATCAGATGGGGGACATTGTTGAGTTTCTTGAAACGTCGCAGAACTTTGATAAGGTGATGGTGGTTGGGAAAGTCCAATGGCAAAGTTGGTAGAAGATTGACGACTACTAAACGATGCTTTAGAAGGCGATGATAATGGACTACATTGCGGGTTCACAGAAGTTAAAACAGTTACATTTTGATTATTAGTAGTCATGAACGGCTGATAATTTAGTGGCATATTCAAATTCATTTTCATTTCAAAAAGAAGATTATCAATTCGATTTATTGCAATGTCCCTAGTTCTCTCATCAAACTGTTTCAATCTTTCAGCAACCAATTCCCCATATTTGTCACAAAAATCTTTTCCTTTTGCATTTTTTTGGGCATTGTTTTGCATAATAGTATATGCCTCATCTACTTTTCTTTTTAGTTCAACCTCTTCAGTCACTTTCTTCTTTTTCTGCGCAGGACGCTTGAAGGAAGACTTCGAAGTAGATGGCAGTATTTCTGCAAGACAATATTTTTTTAAAAGATGAAATTTTATTAAATAAATGCGTTTTTTTTTATACTCCAACTACCACGAAGGCCTAAGGCCTAAACACCCATTGGGTATCGTGGGGCTATAGGGGGATACAGGGGAAAGGGGAACGCCACACGGACTCTGGCGAGGGAACACGTGTGCATGCAACATACACACATTCTGGCTCCGCCTACGAGATCCGCCGGGTGGTACCTCCACGTTCGACAGTCAGAGACCGTCTACCGTTTACCATCATTTAGGATATTTTCATCTATTTCAATTATGTTGTCAGGAATATTTTCAGTATGATTACTTCCGTTAGCGCTTACATCGTTCGGAGTTGTTTCATCCTGCGACAGCTGTGATGCGAGGTTCTGAAATTTGAAAATAAAGTGATAAATAAGAAAACCACATTATCCATAATTTTAATTGTTACTTTCATTTTATACTATTATATTAATATAATGTATAAGGCTATTTTCTATTATTATTAGAAAGAGTAAATCCGGTAATTGTAGCTAAAATTTGAAACACTAAATTTTATCTGAATTACTAATAATATTAATAAATGAATTAAGTATAGTACTACTCCATAAAGGCACTGATTGGTATATATTAAAGGCATTTTCTCATTTATGTTTTCAGATCCCATCAAATGAAAGCGAATGGAAGAATATAGCCAAACAGTTTGAAAATATATGGAATTTCCCTCACTGTATTGGTTCAATGGATGGGAAACATATTACAATACAGGCTCCAATAAACAGTGGATCTGAATTCTATAATTATAAACAATATTTCAGTGTAGTGTCAATGGCTCTAGTTGATGCTGATTATAATTTTATATTTGCTGATTGTGGTTGTCAAGGAAGACTAAGCGATGGTGCTGTTTTTCGAAATACAGAACTTTTTAAAAAAATCGAAAATAACGGACTGCATTGCCCTTCAGATGAGCCATTACCAGGGCGAAATATTCCAATTCCATACTTATTTGTGGGCGATGATGCATTTGGATTATGTAAACAAATCATGAAGCCTTATCCAGGTCTACATGAAAAAGGAAGCAAAGAAAGAACGTTCAACTATCGTTTGTCAAGAGCACGTCGCGTCGTGGAAAACGTATTTGGCATTATGGCTTCTACTTTCAGAGTCTTAAGGAAACCAATGTTACTTCAACCAGAAAAAGTTTTATTAATCGTAATGACTTGTGTCCTCTTACATAATTTTTTACGAAAAAGCAGATCATCGCGTTCGAACTATTCCCCTCCCGGAACGTTTGACTCTGAAGAAGATGGAAATATTACACCTGGTGCATGGCGTCAAAATCAAGATAATATGTCAAGTTTACTCCCACTGCGTAATATCCCAAGAAAGCCCAGCATGGAAGCAAGAACTATTAGAAATGAGTTGGCAGAATATTTTATGAGCAACGGAAGAGTATCTTGGCAAGATATATATTGTTAATGCTTAATTTTTTTTATATAAACACGCAAGTTTTCAATAAAAATATTTGAAGAAAAGTAGGTATTTATTACTTACCTCTGAATTTATTGTATTCCTTGCCTCATTCTTATTTTGAAGGAAACTGGCCATTCTTTCGTAAGCGAACCAATTTGGTTTATATATGTCTTCTGTACCTGCTCCACTTTTTGTAGATTCTTTAACTTTATTATTACAAGCCCTAAACGATGCCATTAGGGAATCCTTTTTCTTTTTTAATTCTGTGACAGAGTATTTTCCACCCATATTTTTCTCTATTCTTTTCCAAGCATCGAATACAAGATTTCTGTTTTTATGATCACTCAGCCATGGATTCCAAATTAATGATTCTTGTTCATAGAAATCCAAAAATTGTAATACTGTTTCATTACTCCACTCCATTTTAAAACGAAAAATAAACTGAAATTTCTCCACAAATAGCGAATAGCTTCTCGAATGTCTGTATCGACACAAAACGCAATTATTCGTCTGCTTTGAAGCGGCACAAAATACCGACAAGGACTGGGAAACGGCCAAATACGATTAATCGGCACGAGCAACCATAACAGACAAGTCGGTACTCGTCGAGTTCCGATTACTTGTTATTCGCCGCTCGCCGATTACCACATATCTGTGCCCGTCTTTAGATCCACTCTGCCTATGATACGCCCATGATAGTTGACGACTGACTGATAGCGCCTGGATCAGTGTAATGTCTAAAAATAAGCTAATACTTCGTGGTTGTACCCACTGAAGAAATATTCGTTTTCTGAATACGTTAACCATGCCTCTTCAGAAGACATCATCCTTCCATAAATGCTTTACTTATAATATCATTATTCTATACAATGTATTACCACCGCCTACTAAACGTTGACGATTTCAAAAAACAAGTCAAGGAAATCATTTTTGTGCAACGAATTTTAAGACAGTTATCACACCTTACTACATTTCTCTAAATTATGAACATGAACTAAGCAGGTCCTATTGTAACAATTTTGATATCATAGGTGGGTATATGTGATATTTATATAATACTACTATAAGTAGGTACTCTACTATAATTTACACATTCTATTCGATTTATATATTTGTATGTTAATTTATTTTTGTTAACGGTGGAGTGGCAGAATAGCTATAAGCTAAACCTTGCCATAAATAAATACGATTTATTAGTGTATGTCATATCCTTCAGCGCTGTTTAATGCGTTGACCTGTCATTTCATCACCATTCAAGTTCTTAATTATATTGTGGATCAAGCAGGTACTATATAGAGATAACTTTTTCAGCCAGAACAATGATATTTAAGATACCTTCAGCTAAAAAGCTACGAGGTCCTCTATTCCTATAGTTCGGGAGCAAATATAGGTGGGCAAAAGGCTTGGACAAAAGCGGTGTAGGCCTTCCCTGAAAAGAAACCTCAAGCTATACTTTATTAGGCAGAACTCGTGATGTAAGTGTGTTTTTCTATGTTCCATTTTCGTGGTCTGGAAAATATTCTCCCGGATATCGAGCAAAGGAGATCTAAACAGATATCTACAAGTCCCGCGGAGCTTGGATACGTTTAGTCCTGGCGCAAAAGCGAAGTTTATGCTGGCATTTATAATGAGCAATAATTGTGTGTAGTAGGTTTGGGGTATAAAGATAATGACGGGCAACAGCATATTTTTTTACGTATTGCAAATACATTCAAGCTGTAGAGATTTTATGGAAGAAAGATCTCATGCTCGCAAGCTATCGAAGGGGTTTTGCAATACTCTAGTTGGAATAACTAGTAGCCTAATAGACGTAGATTTTTTTTTTAAATGGATAGCGAGTTAAAGAGGAAACGCCATGTAAGAATTTCCCAAGAATTAGCTTGTTACTGTGCCGATATTAATATACTAATTTCTTCTAATCAGTTTTACTAAAACATGAACATATTTTCAAGCGCCGTAGGGGGAACCTTTAAGACTTCTAAGGAGATGAATTTATGTTAGGAGTAGGTACTCATATACAGGGTATCCAATAAGTACCACGACAGACTTAAGGAGAAGGTACGAGGGATGTCTTTTAAGTTTTGCATATAGAAACATAGTAGGCCGCGCGGATCGAACGTCAGTACTGAATCTTAACCTCACTCTTTAGTAAACTTAAATTCAAAGTTTCACAACAATACGTGCAATGTTCTCACTACAGTGAATTTTTAAGTGTCACCAAGTCATTAGATAAATGGAACTCAACCGAGAACATTTTCACGCCATAATTTATTACAACTTTCAGAGACAATTGAGGCGGTCAGAAGCAAAGGGGTGTAAGTGCATGTTTTAGCATTTTGAGAAAAACAGGTTCAAAGTTTAAGTTGTGTAAAAAAATCACGGGTATTTCAAAATACTCAATATAGTTTTTTTCACTTTCCAATATGCTGTAAAAGATTATTTTTATAGATTTTAATGCCATTGAGCTGGTTATTCCAAAAATACAGGGCGTACAGTAAAGCGATGGTATCACTTACACCCCTTAGCACTTAATTTTTGAATAATACTTACACTATAAATCTTATTTTCTTTACCCGTAATTGCATATGGATTCAAGAAATCTTCTTTATAAAGGGTTTTTGTAAATTATTGCAAAATAACAAAATAGCAGACAGATGAAATCGAAAGTTTATTGACAAAAAAAATGTATACAAAACAAAATACTCAGAGGTTTTAATGACAAACACCAAGCACTGACTCGCTCTTAATTTCTAATCATCATCAGATTCCCATTCAGCTGAAACATCTGCAGAATTTTCAACAGAAATGTCTCTTTGGCTGACGTTGGCATCTACTTCTCTATTTTCGTTTGTTGCGGAAGCTACGCTTCCTCGATGTCTTAGTGATGAATAAAAGTTATGGTAAATGGGGGGAATAAACTGAAGGAGTTGCTGGAGGTTCTCGTATTTGGCGGTTTTTATAGATGGTGGTTCAGGATACAATAATGTAAGGTCAAATTGCGTATTTGGACGGTCCTTTTTCTGTTTTCTAAGGTCAAAATGCACAAAATCCATTTCCTCATTCAAAGTGTTCTTGTATTGAAGAATATTGGGCTTATCTTTTTCCAGTCGAAACCACTGAATATTACGTATCCCTGGAATACTGTCTTTTATCTCTTTTTTCATCTGTTCAACTGACAAAAATCTTTATTTCTCATTCGTACAACAGTAAACTTTCGACTAGCTTGAGCTACTATTTTGCTCCAATCATCCGGGACAAAAACATATTGATTTTTCTTCTTTGACTTCTCGATAAGCCCGAAATCTTGGTCGCACTCCATATCAGAGTGACCAGAAATTAAAAATTTGTGGTCAATTCTACAAATGGAGGTTGTCTGAACAATATGCCTCCAAAATTTTATAATGTTGTTATTTTTATTTTGACCGCCTGCGTTATCGCTAAATGCGATGATATGTTCTACTGAATTAGGCAGTTGCTGAACATATCTCAATAAGCATTCACACACACACGAATCTGCGTGGATGAATGCTGAGATATTTGTGACCTGGTTATACAACTTCCAACTAACAAAGCCATCAAAAAAATAAAAATGAAAACCAAACAGAACATCCAAGAATTCTTAAGAGATCAGGGAACAAAGTGCATCATTTGCGGAGAAACATTCGAAAATGATTGGATACAATGTCATAAATGTAAAAACTGGGCGCATGAAGCATGCGTAGATATTGATCCTTCACACCATTACTATTTTTGCGACGTCGGCAAAGCCGAAGATCGACTTAGTCATCGTTAGTATGTATGTCCGGAGCTACCCGCCATAAAATAATTGTCGAAAATTGAAGACTGTTTGTTACACTTGATAAAGAAATTATCTGATTGTTACTTAAACTAAAATACTTCATATATATTTTGTTTAACGTTTTGATACTAAGTAAATGCCTAATTATGACCATTTCAAGCAAAAAGAGTTTTTTATGTGTCCGTGGCTACCCGACTCTCCCCTATTCAGGCATAAAGGTGGAAGTTGATACCTTCTTCCAACTTTTACTCTTACTCCCATGCTGAAATATAATAGTTACTCATTAATTCCACCACAGCGAATTTCAGCCTGCTTCAAAAAACAAGTAAATGGGCAACTTTTTTGAAAAGTGCTGTATAAGATCTAAGTAACTATATCGAAAAATTATTTTTTGACAGAAATGCACAGAAAATTTTATATGTTTATGATTTTTTAATATGGAAGCTCCAGTCAGCAACTTTTCGTTTATAGACAGTGGTGCATAACTTCCTGTCCTTATGCCTCCCTCCAAAGCCACAGCCACTGTACTAACCGAAATCTAACGGAATTGAAGACCGCATTAGTATTCCCATCGAGTCCAGAAATGGTGCCAGTAAATCCAGGCAAAATGAGGAACATATAAGTCCCATGGGGAGGGTGCATGTAGTTCGATCTAGGATTTCTAGAAGAAACATGAAACCCTCTCAAGCATACCTTGCTACACATACGATTGGGAGGCGTGAGTGTGAATGGATAGATGTTTACGAATTTGCAGTTTGAGATACTATACCGGAAGGTGAGAAAGCAGCTGCTAGCGCGGCCGACGCTTTGAATTGACAAAGTCGGTGCGTATGGGTCTCGCTGTACGAGTATTTAAAGGGATGCCGCACCTGCAGTGGCGTATGATATGTTCCGCGGGCTCTTCCTTTTTGATACCCGGTTATAGTTGTTTGGGGTGCCAATACAACGATCCTAATTAACATATTTCATCAGAAGATACCCAACCTAATCGGGATCATATCTTTACCAAAAATAAGCATACGTACTTTGATGCTCCCAACCACTTATGCAAGCAACCATATGCCTGTCGACCACCATCTCTATGTACCAGCGTTGCAACTTCTCGACTTGTTGGGTTATGGGATCTCATTTCCCCTCGTTGATAGAATAGATAATATGATCTCTTATGAATAACTATTAGGGAGATTGAGGTGTCACAATTCCTGGGAGGGTTAACGTCATGCTTGAAAATAAACAATTTTCTTCATAAGTACAATGGAGTCTGCTTTTACTACTTCTCAAGGAATTACTGACGTTCCTACTTGACAGCATAACAGTGACGATAGAAATTGAAAGTGAACGTCCAAATACAGCACATGATTAGTTACCTTCTTGAACAATAATAAAATGATGAACCGTATTTATTGATTTTTCCAGACAAAGAAATTACGATAGTGGAATATAATACCAGTATCAAAGTCTGTAGCTAATAGCTATTCTACTTAATCACTGGAGGGCAGCGCCCAAATAAGTAGACAACTAAACTAGAACTAAACTACAATTACATATGACAGAATCGATAAAGTAGACAAACACGTAGCAATGATGCTTTTTACTTTCAACTACTATACAGGACGTTCACAGACAGGAGCAACAAATTTTATGCTAAACAAAGACCTAACCATTTTTGATATCTATTTTGTAACGATAACTATATATAAAAAATGTAAACAATAAAATATAAATAAACATAGTTGAATATAAGAAATTGTATCATAGATTTTGCATATCAAACAAATAACGTCTTAATCAGTTTGAAAGCTTGAATTCTTGTGGAAGCTGATTATACATCCTGATAGCATTATTTACAAACGATCATTGGGACAAGGCGATATTTTGCTGAAAAAGTGTGTAGTCCAATTTTGATCCAAAATATCGATGTTGAAGATCTTTGCGAGATATGAAATGTACAGGGTGTTTCACAGCTTAACCAACAAATTTTAACCACATATGTACTGTTGCGAAAATGTAATAAAAGTCCTACAGAAATAATAAAATAATACAGTTTAACAGTTCACTTACTTATAAAAGCTGTTCAAAATTGTTTCCATTGACTGCAATGCAAGCTTGGGCGTGTCTAATCCAATTTCGGCGCACTAATTCAAATACACTTCCTTCCTGCTGTGCCTGAAGGCTCAAATTATCGGCAGCCACTGTGATTCGGTCAAGCAATTCTTCAATATTCTGAACTGGGGTACGGTATACCTCGTTTTTCAAGTAACCTATAAAAAGAAGTCCAGAGGACTTAGATCGGGAGACCTGATTCAAAAAAGGATGAACTTCTAAATGAAAATTCGTAGGTGCCCATCGTGCAGAAACCACGTCCGTGCTCGGACCGCCAATTGCACATCTTCAAGAAGGACCGGCAAATCATTCCGAAGAAATTTCAAATACTGGTGACCATCCATCCGATCTGGCAATATGAACGGTCCAATTAGACGTTCATCGACAATACCTGCCCACACGTTTAAAGAAAAACGATGTTGGAAGTGTGTCTGGACCGCTGCGTAAGGATTCTCAAAAGACCGAACGTCTGTATTATGAAGATTGGTTATCCCATTACGAATAAAAATAGCTTCATCGGTGGCCAAAATATCAGCTATAAAACAGGCATTTCGAGCATTTTCTTGCAACAACCACTCACAAAATCTTACTATTAGGGAGTAGTAGTAGGTAGCAACGCCTGTACTCTCTGGACGTGATAAGGGTACAGTTGGACCTCCTGTCATATGCGCCACGATGTTGCGTGTAATATTTCTGGGACCTGTTGGGCTAACTGCCTTGTGCTTATTCGCGTTGTTGGTGAACCCGACCCCCATCCACTCCACGTCTGGGGGAAAATCTCCACTAGCACGTGCACGTAAAACAATTGAACTAAATGTTTCGTGATTTGGTATGTGCCTATTCGGAAAGCGGTGTGCATACAAACGAGAAGCCGCTCGCGAATTTTGCCCTGCTTCTCCGTACGCTAAATCAATGCCCACTAGCTCATTAGTGTACACATGTGCCATTTTTATTAATAAATAACTGAAAACTTATTTAACTTCACAAAAATCGACCGTTCTTCACCCACGATACATATTAAACCTTATTTACACGTTATCAGTGTAAAAAAACAAAAAATTTCTGGTATTTTGTTTTTGTCAATTGTTTGGTACAACATTTGCTACAATAAAATATTAATGCGTGTTCTAGTATCACGACGATGAACGCAAAATACCTACAGATATTTATTTGTCAATTTATTATTGAATTTCAGGTTTATAACTTAATTTCTGTAGGATTTTTATTACATTTTTTTTTTGAGAAATCAACTTCTTTCGCAACAGTCCATATGTGGTTGAAATTTGTCGGATAAGTTGTGAAACACTCTGTATAATCATATGTAAAATCACCCAGCCTGCTACGTGAATCGGTGACCATGAAATATCAATCAAATTTTAACTTTATGGATTGTAATAAAGTTGAAAGTATATCACGACGTCTGTTGGTATTTAGTGCTAGCAAGTAGGTACCTTTTGCCATCTAACCTCCTCAAAATATGAGGTCTGGTCTGGAGTACTGCTCACATGTCTTTAGTGCTAGTGCTTCTCGCCTAATGCGGTTCATAGGAGGGCTGTTTTGACGTCAGGGGGCAGTAACAGACGATTTTAACTCTCTCTCACCATCGAAGGGCGATCGGTGATCTAGCTCTCTTTTTGCGATATGCCAACGAACTTTGAATTAGGAAGTTCAATAAACAACCCAAAAACATGTCTTCTACTTATTATTGGCAACACAGTATATCGATATTTAGAATATACATTTACGGTTACTTGCATAAGAAAATAAAATGCCAATAATAACTAATAGAAGCGAAGGTAAAGTTTGTCAACTGTAATCTGTCCTTAGGGCGGGTATTTGTTCCGTATTTTTTTTAGTATATATAACATCGTAATTCCAAGTTGCTGATAGAACATCTACCCGTGTATCACTCAAATTTGAGTAGAATGAGAACTTGGAAAAACGTGTAACATCCAGCATTGGAATATATTGAATCCGTACGGAAAAATTGATTGTATTGTTCCCCAGGCATACCTGATCAAAATAAAATCTGATCTTGGAGTTCTTGTAATATTTATATAAGTAATAACTTCCAAGTCCATGGTTTTAGCTGCTTCACAAATTATAGTATTATGTATCTCCATGAAAAATCATGCCTTTTCTGTGCACTTCTCATGCAAGTCTATCATCAGTTCATAAAAGATCATGTTTTGCCAAAGTCTGCACCTTTCAGAAATAAATTGACTACCAACATATATCACAGAGGCATTTAGAAGATCAGGTAAGTCAAATAGGCAATACTATTAGTCTCCATTTCCCACCAATTTGACAAACACCTGCAGCGCTGCGATCAGAATGACTATAAGTAAACCGACAGCGGCAGCCGTTATCTCGCTACAGGTTTAGCTCCTATTTTCTTTGCGCTGGACCTGGGTTTAGAAAATATATCCTGCATTCTAAGTACTAAGAGCAAATGTACAGACAAAACTGTGTGAAATTTGCCTAAAAGGTATGTATAATTACCGAGGCTAGAAACATATAAGTAATTTAACACCAAAAAATTGATACCTACTCCCCACCAACCGATTTTTATAGTTTATATTTCTTTACGACTTCTCCTGAAACTATTTGTCATAAATAACTTTTAGATACATTGCTCTTCGTATTATTTTTTCAGACACAATGCACAATAACTACCAAAATTTCAAGCGAACTGCGAGGCTATTGTCATGAACCAACCGTGTTTAAATACAGTTGCCTGGATACACGCAATTCATTATAATACCTAATGACCCGCTTTTTCCACAGTAGACCGCAATATTTTTTGTTGGAGGCAGTCTTTTGATAGTGATATAACGGTCGAATATAGTGTTAATATGCTGCACAAGTTCGTAAGTTTTCTTCCCTTTTCAATTTATTCTACATCATTGCATATCCGGTTAAGCCGTCTACTGTATAAGCATGAAATCATATTTAGTAACAATGAAGCACTTGAATTCATAATTTGGAATTCATCAAAGCTTTCGCCTTGCAGCATCCCTTAACTTTATAAATAGTTCCAACTTAGGCTGATGACTACGTGTTTTAACCCCTACTAAGCGTGGCGGGCCGTGGCTGCTGCTTCTTCCGGACGTTGCTGCACTTCTTTCCGTTAAAGTACCTCAGTATCGACTCCCAGATTGCGGAACAAGTCCGTCACAAGTTTAGGTCACCTAGAACATCATTCACATCCCCTTATCGAACATTTACTAGATTAACACCAACACCAAAACTCTCCGATTTTGCTCCGACTAACCATCTTAGCTGTCCAAAGTACGGTTCACACTCCAATTTGAGGAAGAGCGGGAGAGTTTCTTAGGAATCAGGCCGAATGGATATCCTGTGGCTTGCCTCAACTTCAGACCATCCCCCATTTTCATTTGCTACCTATATCGCTCTCCATCGTACCAGAACTGGATTGACCTATTTGAATACCTCCCTGTCAAGATCGACTTCTTCAGTGATTCCAATACCCATAATGCAGCGGGGTCGTACTGTTGAAGCGTCGTTATTACTACTAACCCAGCTGATGATGAGCCCGTATTTCTCCTCCCCGTTTCGTCACATGCCAGTAGTCTGTTGGATCAATTTCTGACCACGCATCATGCCCCTTGCAGCACTGCCGTTCTGTTTACTTTGGCTGACTCAGACCATGCTACTGTAATGGTCAGATCTTGGTCAGAATCGGCTGTGGCAGCAGAAACTCGCCCAGGACGCAAAATTTGGGCTGCCGGCTGGGAAACCCTCACCTTGCACGATGCAAAAATTAGGCTTAGGGTAATGTCGCACCGCAATGGTACTCAATCTTTTTGGCACACTGACGAGCAGAAGCTCTTTATTGCCAATTCCACCATGGACATCCCTAATGGCCGAGTGCCGTCGATTGAAGGGGTTCCCTATGCGGAAAATAACTTTCAGGTATGACCGTGAGATGGCTGATCTTGTCGCTTGACATTAACAATCCTTTCAGTCGGGACTTGATTCCTCTCGTTGTACTGAGAATATGTGCAGCGGAGCTTGCTCCAGTTCTTTCAAGTCTGTTCCACCTTACGAATCCAGTACTTTATCAAGAAACTAGAAATATGCTTATTTCCAGCCCACCCAATAAAATAAGGACCCTCAAAATGACAGGGCTATAGCTCTGTCTTCTGTTATAAGTAAGGTATTGGAGAGGTTCATAAATCGGGAGCCTCTG